TTGTCCTCGGCCTTGGTGCCCACATCTTCAAGGACTCCCTGGTCTTCCGGTCCTTCTATCATTTGGACGAAGCCTTTGGCAGCCCGGCTCCCGTTTACTGCCACGAAGCATTGCTTCGACATGACTTGATCGCCCTAAATTTCCTTAATTTCCCCCATAGCCGAGGGGAATCTCATAACCTGGTGGTAGGTTGACACTACAGCTTGCATAGCGTGAAGCCATCTGCTACCGAGGATCAGATTGTATGTAGATGGCATCTTCAATACCTAGAACTCCACCTGCCTGACCACGGATCCGGCCTTGACCAGTAAAATAATCTTTCCCATAGGGCACTCCGGTTGCGAGTTGAAACCAACCGGTGGCAAAGTTGCCGGAGCCAAGTCCATATCCCGGAGTTTGAGTTGCTTGAACGCATCGTAGTACATAATCTCAACCGAGCTTCCTTGGTCAATCAAGATGCGCTTGACATCGAACTCTCTAACGTGGAGGGTGACCACTAGGGCGTCGTTGTGCGGCGTTTGAATGCGCTCTAGGTCCCTTGTTGAGAAACTAATCACGTCTTTCTCCTCGGTCTTGCCCTTTTTGACCGCGAGTTGAACTGACAAAACTTCCTCATATGTTCTGCCTTTTTTATCATTCCTCGGAGCTCGTACACACGCGTCGGTTCCACTATGCCATGGATCACGTTGATCACTCTTTGAGGTGGCGTCTCTAAGTCATCCAAACCATTCGGATCGGCCGGGGCAGGATGTGCGGCTTTGACGCCCCCATCAATGTAAAGGTCTAAGTGACCGGCGGCGACTAACTCCTCCAAATGTTGCTTCAAAGGTAAACAGTCCTTTGTCCGGTGTCCTCGCTCCCTATGATAAGTGCAGCGGTATCACGGATTGAAGCCCTTTTGCGCGTCGCCCAACTTAGCAGGAAATCGGACGTAATCCTCGTCACAGATCTCACTAAGTATACGATAGATTGGAATTTTAAATACCGTGGTGATGCCCGTCCGGGCGTTCAACCTTTTATTGGCATCAGCTGCGTCATCGCGGGGATGTTCTGCTCGATCATTGCGGCGACCTCTACCCCGGTTTCGATGATTTGTTCCACGGTCAGATTCCCCGGCGTGATCGTTTGGACGGTTAGTCTCATGTCCGACCGCGTGTACCTTGCCATCCATCCTTTTTTCTGGCACCACCGGATTTGTCTTCACGGTGGATGCCGCCTCATCATCCTCTACTCGGAGGTGCTCATTGATGCGCTGCATTAGTTGCCCCATGGACGTCGGTTGGTTCATTGTAAGCGAGTCCCTCAGCCTATGTCCGACCGGGAGACCGCGCTTATATTGAGTGATCGCCAAGTTGATTGGGCAATCTAGGATCTCGTTGAAGGTTTCCCAGTACCTGGAGTTGTATGCCTTGAGGGTGTCGCTCGACTCCATCTTGACACTTAGAAGGTGGTCCACTTCCTTTGGCGTTTTGGTGTTGGTTTTGAAACGAGTCATGAATGCTTCCGCCAACTGTTGCCACCTCTCAATGCTCTCTTCTGGGAGTCTCTCAAACCATTTCAAGCACAGTTCGCCCAAGCTGGATGAGAAAATAAGGCACATAAGAGCATCATTACGCCTGTGTCCGGCCATGACCTGCCGGAAGTGGCTTACATGCATGTACGGATCGTTTTTTCTGTCATAAAGTGTAAACTTCGGCTGGTGAAAGCCTGCTAGGAGCGGCGTGGTCTCTATTTCAAGGGAGAAGGGGGAGGCGTTCAGCCTTGCCAAGTAGGTGTCCAAAGGAATTGTTACGGCGAAACGGGGCGGCGGCATCATAACCTCCTCACTATGGTGACCTCCGTAAGATAACCGCTGGAACCTCGGCACCCTTCCGGCCTCCCGTCGGCGAGCTCGCTCATTCAGGACATCCTTCAGGTCCTCTTAACGGACGGAGTAAGAATATCTTGAAATGGTCGCCGGACGTGAGGGATGATAGGTACTATCTTGCACGCTAGACTTCTCTGCAGGCGTGTTTAGGTCTCCACCCTATAGCTTCTGGTGATAGAAAGGGAGGGAGTGCGCCGTTGGCTCTGACTGCCTAAACGGCGGGGTTGGGTGCCCTCACTATGGTCTCCCACTCCAGCAACACCCTTCCCTTTGACCTGGCATTTGAGAGCTTCCAGCTCTGCTGCCATTCTCTGGATGACGGTGTCTTGGTCCCTCAACTTGTGCTCCAGACGTCGAGCATGTGATTCTCTTCGCCGCCGGTGTCCCTCTGGGCTCCGTGAGCGACCAAAACTTCTGGAGCGCTTATCTCGAAAGTCTTCCTGGGGAAGTTTCCAGGTCCACCATGTTCTGAACGGCGGGGAGTCCGTCTCTCTGTCTGGCTGATTCCGGGGTAACACCGTCAATGGCAGACAATGGTATTTCGTCGTTGTTCGCCATTGAAAGCGATCGGATGAGCTTGAAAGACAAGGTTTTGTCTGTTGACTCTTTCCACAGACGGTGCCAATTGTACGGGGAAAAGATATTCGTTGCTGTCCGTACTCCTTTCGTCTAAGCTCCGAATTTATCCGATCGACCTGAGAACACAACGGCAGTGAGCTATCCAGCGGTGTGTTGCTGAAAAACCCCTCCGACGGTCAAGTTAGCACACACTCAGAGATAGAGAGAGAGAGGAAGAGAGTTGAGTGTTTAGGTTTCTCTCACCAAATGATGTTCCCTGCTCAGCATGGGGGGTGCAGTCATGCTTATATACTTTCTGCGCTCAACTCTGCACCCATTAGTCTCTTAACACGTGGAGCTGCTCTCCTATCTGTCAGCACAAACCCAGCGAACACCACCTAACCAAACCGCCAGATAACATTAGCGAGAACTCGGCAGCCCGGCGGCATCCTCCTCAGCCTTCCACGATCGTGCTGTGTAACGAGTCTGAGTGCTCCACTCGCGAGCTCCATAACAGCCGAGCTCGGTAGCATTCCGGCAGAGTCGAGTTCAAGACAGGTCGAACCGGTGAGTAGAAGGCCTTCTTCGCCGAGCTACACGTGCGAACCATGGAACCTGGATTGGCAGGCGATCATCTCGGCCAAGTAAGCTCGGTCCAAACAGGGGACCTGAACCTCAAGCCTGGGCCTCGACCGAGCAAGACCAACTCCAGGGAAGCCCCAGTCAGCTCGGCCTAAACAGGAGGCCTAAGCCTCGACCGAGTAAAACCCACTCTGAACAGGCCCAAGTTAGCTCGACCCAATCATGCTTGGCCCTGTCCTGTCCGGCTTCTACCACGGCCCAAAACCAGATTATAAATCTCCCTCTCAAGAATACATGAAAGAAAGCTAGTTTTCGGTTAAAAAGATAAAAAAAAAAATCATTATGTTAAATTCAAATCCTATATTTTTCACTCCTAAAAAAAAATAATGTTTTAACAATTTTTCAAATACATTAACTAAAAAACTACTAAAAAGTCACAAAAAAAAAAAAAAAAAAAAATTAAACCCCAAACAATCATTCAAATAATTTTGCTTGTCTATATCTCTTTCCTTGAGTTTCAAACACACTAAAACGAAGAAAAGAGGGAAATGGAGAACACTTTATGCTATGTGTTTGGTTAGGAGATTTAACGAGAGATTTGGAAAGAGAAATGAAAAACATAAGTAAAATGTGATAAAATATACCTTTATTTCACATAATTTCACACACTTTTTTCATTTTTCTTTTTAAATCCTTTTCCAAAACTTCCAACCAAATACAACACTACTATTGTTCAAGAATGTGATTGTGTGGTTTGTATTTGTTACAGTTGCGCCTATGAACATCAAAGCTGGACAGCAATGACAATTGTTCGGTCATTAATGAGTTGCCCATATGAAGTCAACTCCTATCCACCCCAAACACTAAAACTGGCAAGCAAAACACACCCCCCCCCCCAAACCAAAAAAAAAAAAGTTTTATTGATGAAGTATTAAAACCACCTCCTATAATCCATTTAAAATTCCTTAGCCAACCAATCAGTGTCTGCCATAAATATAAAAATTTATTAAATAATCTTTGAAAATGTGGCACATTGTCTATGAAGTATTTGTGGCTAATGAAAAATCGCAACACACATTAAGTATGCCAATCTTTATTTCTTAACTACCTAGTTTAGATGAATCAGCATATTCCATTCGTAAAAAATTTCACGGCCTGGTTGATTTGAAACAACATATAAACAATGCCACATCGTAGTACTCTAAGACAACATAATAATTACTCTAAAAACATATAATAAAACTAGCATTAATTTTCCCTAGTTATTTATTTTCCTAGTATACCCTTATTTTTGTATGAAACACTATTAATGCGTGAAAGGTGTATTGTTAAAACAACTAACAAATGAAAGAAATTATTTAATAAATTTGGTATACAACAAATGCGGTGTGTCTTTACAATAGTAAGAGAACACATAATCATTTTGTTTCTTATGTTTTAGATAAGATAATCATATATCTCATACTATTAAATGAGCGCATGATTACGTGATACATCACACTTACTAGATAATTTCTCCACAGCAAAAACAAAAGAAAGAAAAAAAGAAAAAAAGAAAAAAAAGTGAGAAAGACAACTCGAAAATGTTGGAGAGTTAAATTCCTTGTTTGTAGGAGATGAATGGGTATGCAGAGCTTCTTTGTTGAAACTATTACCATGCAATCTCTTTTTTTCTCCCCTTTCTTTCACAATCTACCCTGCCCTTCTCCCAAAGGTACCTCTCTCTCTCTCTCTCTCTCTCTCTGTGCAATACAACAATAACATATTGTTGAATACATTTATAGCATTATATATTATTGAATACAAGTAAATGATGAAAGAAGACTATATGCCTATCTCATTGGCATAGTTTTTTTTTTTTTTTTTTTTCTTTCAGATTTTTGCATTTGCTTAATATTAATCTAGATTGTTTCTATATTTCATTTTCTTTCTCGAATCTTGATTAGGGTCAATTATTGGGGAAGCGGTGGGGTTTGCCAGAGTGCTTTGTGGTAGATCATTGCAAAAAACTCCGTTAAAATGTCTTCCTCAAATGAGGATCAAAACTCAGGGTCTCCATCTCTGTCATCACCTAATTCATCGTCGCCACCGCCATCCTCATCAGAATCACCACCACCACCACCATCATCATCGTCGCCACCACCATCCTCATCAAAATCACCACCACCACCATCATCATCGTCATCTCCGCCACCTCCGTCAAAGGATGACTCACAATCACAATCACAATCACCACCACCACCCCCTTCCTCCAAAAAATCACCTCCTCCTCCATCTTCTAGCAACTCTAAATCCTCTCCGCCGCCACCGCCTCCACCACCACTCGATTCATCAAGAAATTCCTCGCCTCCACCGCCTCTCTCGCATCGATCATCACCATCGAGTAAATCTGGTTCATCTTCATCAAGTAGTGACCAAGAAGCCCTCATAGCTGGAGTTGCTGCAGGTGTAGGGTTACTGGTCATTATCATGATAGTCTTGCTGTGTCGTTGCTGTAAAAAGAAGAAAAGAAAGCCCCATGATCAAATGCCATACTACAATCACAATTCTCTTGGAAATAGAAGTATGTAATATCCAACCTAAACTTATACGCTAAATTGTTAATGATCATCTAGTACAAAATTTAAGTTGTTAGAAACATGAGTAATTTTGTTATTTATATTTTTTATGGAAGTAAATATTAAATATAACAGTGATAACACATTACAATATCACTAATCGATGAGAGTTTTCATATTGTTGTAATGAGATGACATAGCTTGATTAGTGGGAAATAAGAGTTGCCTATCTAATCTCATTGATGATTTTTACACCATATAAATTAATGTTACTGTTACACTCAATATTTGTTCTCTCAAAACACCTCTCACATGTGACCAAATTATTCTCTACAAACAGTTTAAACATTTACAAAATATTGTAATTATTAAATAGGCAATATGGTATGAATATTAGGTCTATTGTCCATTCTATAAACAAATGCCATTTATCACCACATTTGTATATATATTGGGCTCATTATATTTAAAAGATGATGGAAAATCATATTGTATTTAAAGTCACATAAGAAGTAAAAGGTTTTAGTAAAATATTTAGGTGATAAATAACCATTTTGATGACATCTTAGTTAAAAGACCTAAACAAAATATTAAAATTGAAAAAGGGTTAATCACACAAATAGTATCCAAAAAAGAGGAAAAAAATCCAAAATATAAGTTTTGCATGGTATATAGTCTCTAATTTTTAATTTTTATCAATTTGATTCCTAATCTTATAAAAGAAATGCTAACGATTGCCCAATATGGTTAATATTGAAATATATATATATATAGCATATTGAAATATATAAATATATGTATATATATACATAAAAGTTATAAACATATGCAAAATGTGTGTTAAAGTTTAAATTTTTCGATATTAATTATTTGATTCTTATCGAATGCCAATTGAAAGGTCATTAATCGAACCCATTTTTTAATATTACAATCGCGTAGGATTGATATTTTAATAATACAATCGTGTAGGATCGATATTGATACAAGGCATTAGGATTGATAAAATGCCACAAATACATTTTTTGTCCTTAATTTCTATAGAATTCACAAAAATTAAGAGTTAGAATGTATTTATGATATTGCCATGTTAGTATTACCAATGACACTAACGTTGTATTTGGTTGAGAGATTTGAAGACAGATTTGAAAGGGGAAAGGGAAAAAAGAAAAGTTAGGTGAAATATGAATAAAATATATCTATATTTCACCTAATTTCACGCACCTTTTCTTTTTCTTCTTCACTTTCCAAATTCCTCTCCAAATTTCCCAACCAAACACAGCATAACTAATAATCACAGCATAACTAATAATCAAGGATTTTATGCATGCAGATGGAGATTACTACAACGGCGGAAAAAACCACACAAATTGGAACAACACAGGAAATGTAGACCCCTCTATACAAATGCCTCTGCCACCCAGTTCAGCCACCTCACAACAATGGTCAGCGGTGCCTCCTTTGCCACCACCTCAAATGCACAACAATGAGATGATGAGCACCATGGGTTTCTCCTCCGGTCCGCACCAAGCCTCACTGCCTCCGCCTCATCCATCACTTGCCCTTGGCTTTAACAAGAGCACCTTCACCTACGAGGAGCTAGCGACGGCCACCGGAGGGTTTGCGAAGGAGAACTTGTTGGGACAAGGAGGATTTGGGTATGTTCACAAAGGGGTGTTACCAAATGGGATACAGATAGCAGTAAAGAGCCTCAAAGCGGGTAGTGGGCAAGGAGAGAGAGAGTTTCAAGCCGAGGTTGACATTATTAGCCGAGTTCATCACCGCCACCTCGTATCGCTTGTGGGCTATTGTATTGCTGATGCTCAGAGGATGTTGGTTTATGAATTTGTTCCCAATGACTCACTTGAATTCCACCTCTATGGTATGTCTCATACTCCTCTACTAAATTTAATTACAAACTTGGAACCTATATGATTGTCTATATAGTGTTCGGAACCAATTACATAGAGATAAATTTTGTAGTTACTACTTGACTCACCTTTTTGGTAGGTAGTTAGGAGGCAAGAGATGTCACATTTAATGTGTGTTGCTGTTTTTCATTGATTGAAAGTATCATATAGACCATTATTACTTGGTACTTGAAGAATTTCTATTAATTTTCTCAAACAAATACCTATAATTTTATCTAATCTATGGCTTAAATTCATTCAAAACATAGGTTGTGCCAAGAGTCGAACTAGACCACATTCTTTTTTTTTTTTTTGCTGACTAAAAATTACTAATTTCATTGACCTTACTAAAATGTTAAACACATAGAATATTTATAGAGAAAACACATACATGATGATGTGCCAAAGATATTTTATAATTATAACCAAATAGGGTTTTTTGAGTTCCAATAAATGAAAAAAAATAAGCAATTCATTCTGGATGGAAAAATGTCATATACATATTTATTAATGTTGGGCTCGTTTTCTTTGTGTCTAATAATATGAAAATCTATTGAATAATTCATTTATGTATCATTATAAGGAGTAGAAGGCTAATGGGACCTTTTGAAAGTTTTGGTCATGTAAATATGCATTTTCCTAGTCTCGAATTCTTCTTATTTCTAATTGTTGTTATTCTTCTATATCAATACATTCTTACCAATAAATTATGTAGAATTCTCAAAATAAGTAAATTTCAAGATAAAATTCAATAGTTTTTTTTTTGGGTGAATAAAAATTCAATAGTTAGATTGCATTAAACTAGAAAAACAGAAAATTTTAAGAATAAAGAAACTTTAGCTTCATTTCAAGACAAATATGCAATTGCATTGCAGGCATTTTAAGTTGTCATTGCAAATTTACAGGAAAGGGTTGCACACCAATGGACTTCCCAACTAGGCTCAAAATTGCATTGGGATCGGCCAAAGGGTTTGCTTACCTTCATGAAGATTGTAAGTGATTCATACTCTCTCTCTCTCTCTCTCTCTCTCTCTCTCTCTCTCTCTGTTGTGTAAAAAAAAAAAGGCTTAGGAATACATAAACATGTCACGAAATTGGAAACATCTCATATGACATAGATTTCATATTTTTGTGAAGCCCACACCCATATAAGAAGATTGTATCTTATTCTATAGGGAAAATTACACCGGTAGTTACTGCATTTTGCCTTTTGTATTACTTTGCTTTTTGTCATTTCAGTTAGCTCAATTTTGACTTTTAATTTTAAATTTTATATCAATTTGGTCTAGTTGATAACATCGATTAGGGTTTTTGAAAGAAATGGTAACTAAGTTGGCTGGGTTATGTCCTGCCCCCCAAATAATTCCAATTAAACATCAATGAAGAACAAGTTCCATATTTCCAAACAACACAAAATTAATCCCAATAATTATCTTTCTCATTGAACTATGGATTTCAACTTACAAAATTACACATGAACAGTTCACAGTTAGAGAAACAAAACCATTGTCCCTTAGATTTACTCATTACAATGTGGTCTTTTACAACAAAGAGGGCATAGATATCAAAAGAGGATAATATAAAGTTCAACGGTTAAATTACAGCGGCAAAAGTTCACAAAAATTTAGGTAATGTTTGGTAGAGTTTTCTAAATATGATTTGAGAGTAGGAGTTGTATGTTGAGTTTGTGAGTTTTGAAATTGTAATTTGAGTGTAGAAAATTTGTTTGGTTATGATTTTTGAATAGAGTGTTGAATTGAGTTTTGAATTGAGTGTGAAATTGAGTTTTGAAAATTTGATGTGGCATGTGAAGTAAGAAAATTTGTTTAGTTATGAGTTTTTAAAACTTAATTCAAAAAGTTATAAATTATAATCAAATACACAACTCAAAACTCAATTGAAATTTTTTATCAAACATTCATAATCAAACTTTTTTAAAATTCAATTTAGAAAATGAATTAATAATTTTTTTCAATTAATTTCTTTTTGAAATATTTTTTTTCAATTAATTTGTTTTTTCAAATATTTTTTTTAAATTAATTTTTTTTCAATTACTTTTTTTTCAATTAATTTTTATTTCAACTATTTTTTTCAATTACTTTTTTTTTCCAAACAATTTTTTTTGAAATAATTATTATTGCAATTATTTTTTTTCAATTAATGTTTTTCAGTTTATTTTTTTAAATTAATTTTTTCCCAATTTATTTTAATAATTATTATTTTTTGTTTGTTAAATTTTATCGCTTTACTAAGACATCCGTGAACCTGTACCACTCACCTTTATTATTGTGCTCCATCCATATTAATTGAAGTTGATTGATGGATGTGTTTGCCAATGAAATGTCTAAGGTACCCCTGTGTTATGAAATGCGAAAGTGGTATGGTAGTGCAAACTGAAAAGGGCAACATCGTAATTTCACTCATACTTTTCAGAGCCATCACCTGCAAAACATCAGTTGGTCAGTTTTGATAAAAGAAAAAAAAAAACACACACCTACAAATTTTTTTATCATATATTTGCTTGAGGCTTTACATCGTGAGCACATACAACCACCTCCTCTTGAAACATGCAACCAAACCCGTGTCAAAGAAGAGAGAAACAACTTTGAGCCAAGGTTCACTACACCAGCTTTATAATTTTAGGTTGCAAAGAGGAAGAAAAAGAGCAGAGGTTCACAACACTAGCTTCACAATTTTAGGTTTCAGAGCAGTCGAAAGGTGCCCTTATCCGGTGGACCGAGAGGTCAACCGATGGGTCATTTGGCCGGTCAACCAGCTGCCCTGTTCCCAGCTTCCAGCAAGACTGAAATCTAGGCTGAGCTTCGACTATCTGTTGCTTACCTTATACACACCATTTGGAAGCTTGTCACAGAAGATAGAGATGATTGTAAGTTTGAAAGCTTTTCACAGTAGAGAAACAAACGGAGAAATCTGCCAAACGGGATATGAAAATGCATTTTGAACTATATGGTGGAATTTATTTTAGAAAACTATCCAAACGTCAAGCGCAAATGAGAGAGTGGAAATATATTTTGAGAACGCAACCAAACACAGCCTTAAAGTTTGAAAGGAATAGTCGTCCTCTTCTTCATTGGCGGGGTTCTGGTTCATCGAGTCCTAATAGGAATGAACAATTGCCCAGTAGAAAATCTATTTAACCAAGAATATAAATATTTGATTTAAATTATGTATGATCATTACCAAATGCCCATGAATAACATATTTCCAACTTTGAAGACAACACACTATTCTATAAATCAATTCCACATTTTTTTCGTCCTCACATGGATGGCCAATGGGCACCTCAATTGCTTCCACATTTGCCACCCTCACACGATTGGGCAAGTGGGCACCTCAAATTCCCATGCTAGTAAAGCCATAGTGCATGACAAATAACATTCAAACACAAATCTTTGTTATCATATTACCAGGAAGCTCAGCACCCCTCAATTCTACCCATCAATTTCCTTTCCTCTCTAAACCATAGTCTATGAACATGATTTAGAGTTTCACAATAAACTTTAGGGCTTTTCCCCTTATGTCTTAATTTTCTTTAATTTATTCCCTTTTACACTATTTTACATTCGTAGACACTCAATCATTCACCCAATTTGACCAAAACTCACTATTATCATAAATATCCATATATGTATACACATACCTATATATATATATATCCATTTCAAATCATCCACCCATACCATAACATTTACACACACTTAAACCAAATTATTGATATACAAGAATAAAGATATTCCTACCTCAAAAGTTGTGTGTGTGTGTGTGTGTTAGAGAGAGAGAGAGAGAGAGAGAGAGAGAGATAAAGACCCAAGGATGAACCTCCTCAAAGTAAGATCCAATCGGTTCAAAATGTAGCCCTTGATGAGATGAACAACTTTGATAAAGGAGCAAGAATGGATTTTAGCTAACAATAGATGAAATCTAGTGTTGACAGGCTAGGGTTTTGGAAAGAGGGGTTTTAAAGAGAGAAAGAATGTAAAAAGTGAGCCCAAGATGTGTTTGGATTGAAATTTAACATTGTTGTCCCGACTAGACTGCTCAAGCGAACTTATCATCACTCAAGTGGTAAACACATGGTCCTAGAAGTTTTGCAAAGCTATAGTGAAAATATTGGGAACCTTATTTCTACACTCGAGCGACCATTACACCGCTTTAGCGGTCTCACCTGCAAACAAGCAAGATACTAAGAGCTTTGCATCTCCGCTCAAGCGAGCGACATGATAGACTGCTCGAGCGGTCTCCTAGAACAGATTGTTATAGGTTAACTTACAAAGTTGGACAAGTTTACAATATTACCTATAAAGTCATGACATATGACACTTATGTACACATATTTCATTAAAAAAAATACTAAAAATTATAATTAAATTGACTAAATTGAAGCAAAATTATAAATTTATGGTCAAAATTGAGCCAACTGAAATTACAAGAACCAAAATATAAAGACTATTGATATAATTTACGCTATTCTATAATTAATTTATGCACAAGTAAAGTAATTGTAATGTGTCTTGATTGTACAGGTCACCCTCGCATTATCCACCGAGATATCAAAGCTGCTAATATTCTAATTGATGAGCACTTTGATGCCAAGGTATTTGCAACCTTTTTATTTGCAGTTATGCTATAAACACATAAAAAGTTTACAAACGAGGATGCAAATGTAAAATTCACTCTATATCTCATATCTGTATGTCATTCTGTGAAAATTCTCTGTACACTTAGGTTTACTTTTGCATTTTACCCAACATTAATATGTTGTGAAACACACATAAAATGAGTTGGAGTAAATTATCGTTCTATATTTTGTTGCATTTAGTGAAAGGTATATATCACATTTGTTATATTTTAAAAATAAAATACTTTTATTAAAAATACTAAATCCTTCATTAAGAATATGTTGGAATAGTATTTTTTTTAATAATTAAATATCATTTTATTAGGCATTTTGTTTTAAAATTATAAGTTCAAATGTATTCACATCATTCTATATACCTTTTTATTAGGCATTTTGTTTTAAAATAATTTCTAATGTATCCACATCATTTTATATGCCTTTTTATGTTTGTATATTATGCAAAATTATTAAATAATCTGAAGTATGATGTGGCATTACTTACATGGTGCTCCCAATAAATGAAAAATTACAAAATAGATTGTATTGTGTCTCCCACCTATCTAATATAGGCATTTCAATATTGTTCTATCTGTAAAACTTTTTATTGCATTATTGATTAAAGAATATTACTTTCTATATTTCATACCATTAAATAATTGTTCATTTATTATTTATTCATTTTAAAATGTGTTTTCATTATGAAATACCTTTTATATTCAGGTGGCAGATTTCGGATTGGCTAAACTTTCCAGTGACAACTACACCCATGTATCCACACGTATTATGGGAACATTTGGGTAATATTTCCTTTCATTCTATAAATTATGTATCCAATTTAATTTTTAAGTCCCTTTGATGTAGTATTTTACAAATTGATAATTACAAAGTAGAAACTAAAATCATTCCCTTCTTAGTTATAACGTCCCGAAATAAATACTATAAACCATCCACAATGTTAATTATATCACAACATATGATAAGGTAATTATCTTTCATTAGTTCCAATTACTTTTACAAAAGAGTAATATATGCAGGTATACGTTCACAAGTTTCACCCTGAATCTATAGCATATGTTACATGATAGAGAAATAGGATAAAAGACAAACAAATAAGAAATGCCCTAAGAGTTTACAGTTTTCCAAGTCCACACTTGGTGATGGATCGTTTTACACACCAAAAATAAACACTAAACTATACCAAATTCTTTAGAATAACCGTAAGTCCAAGTATCAATCCATAGAGACAAACGAGAAATTAAACTAATTTAATTGTTAAATTTCTAATTCAATTTTGATTAAAAAGATATTGATTCATAAACTAGTAATAACTAAAATAAACTAATAGATTAAACTAGCAATTATATGTAAAATTGGAATTATTGATTTTTGGAAAAAACCTAGGGTAATGAATTCACCACTAGTTACGTAAATAAGGCTTTAATTTGAGACTCAATTATGTTATAGTTCAAACTAAATAATAATTCGCAACTACAAGCTCGAAGCATTTATTAAAAAAATTAACACGTTCAATGTATAAGCACAAACCATCTTAAGTAGTACGAGTCGTTCGCTCGAAACTAGGGTAGCAACATGACTCGTCCCTCGTAGTATGGCTCGCCTCATACCTTGAACATGAAAGCACAGAAAATCATTGTATGGAAAGCATTCAATAACCACAGAAAGAAAAATACTTGAAGAGAACACTAAAGAATATATTTGAAACTTTTTAAACACCATACAATTTGTTCAAACCTTTACATAATCGAAAAACAAAAAGAAAACCCTATTTACTTGGCTAGGGTTTCATCAAAACCTTAGAAAAAGGAGCCTAGCCACTCATGGAGGCATGAGAAGGAGTATAAGAAGAAAAACCCTCCATGAGAATTACACTTGAAGCTTGAGAAATCTCTTTCCAAACCCTAGCCCCTCATTTTCTTTGAAATACTTTCGAATCCTATCCGGCCTTTCTTCTGTCTTTTTATACCTCTCCTATTTGCCTCACATTCAAAACATTAGGCACGCTTCCCGAGGTACGATCGCACATGCGAAGAGGGTTCCACATGTGCGAGAATGGGCCTCTGGACGTGCTATTTTTTCAGGCTCTGTTTGGCTGTGATAAATGGATTGCACGTGCGTGAAGCATTTTTCTCTATAATTTCTATATTTTTGCTCATTTTATACTCTATTGTGCCCAACCTGATTGACATTAAACCTACATAAAAGATATAATATTGGCAGGCAAGTGAAGTTAAGAGATCTTAATTATCGGCCTCAGTGTTGTACAATTCGACCTAAATCACTTGGTTACAACAAAAAGGATTTAAAACCCAATATAGTTAAAGTCCTTCACTTGTTCAAAAATAAATACAACCAATACACAAAATGAAGCTCTTGCTCCAAGTTCTCCTCATGCTATTACCTTGGCGGAGGCATATCATCTGCACCTAAAAATGTTTTTTTCCACATAGGGTAAGCTAAAGCTCAGTAGAAATAATCGAACATAATTTATGAATCTTAACAAAGATATAAGGATGAAATACATATGCAATGCTTGTATCAAAATATTTTATATTCATTCCCTAAAACCATGTAATGCCAACTTAATGTCAGAATTCATAAATCACTTCCTCTACAATAGAAAACAGGGCGATGAATCACACCTTAGGAATCTCAAAACAATATCAACCATTCATGAGAATTTCGTCTGCGGGAAACCGTAAACCGGCACCCATATAAATGTAGGCTATACAAGCACTATTATTGCTATTTCACGAAAATTTTGTCCGTAGAATCGGCACCATGTATACACACGGTTTTTAAGACTTTCACCATAGACACTTAGGTCAACTTATTTCAACGAGATAATACATACTTCCTAGAAATAATGCTCAATGTAATGAATGAGAAAATAATTTCAATTCCCCTAAACTCATGTAATTTCTACAACAATCATAGCTATCCTCCACCGATAGCCCAAAACAGATATTTCTAAATACATAAACAATTATTAATGAAGATAAACTTTCAGAAGCTCAAGATGTGAGTGATAATACATATCCAACTCCACCATCCTTATCAATATCAATCCAATTTCGCATTTCCAACATTAATTCCATTATTTACACAAAATCAACATTTTATATATTTAGGGCAAAACCCCAGTTTCCTCTAAAACCGAATCCAAGTTCCAAAACCAACCATTCTATCATAACTCAACCCTATTTCAAATCCCATAACCATTTTCCAGAATCCATTTGAAAACCCCTCTTTTCATTTTTTAACCCAAAACTTTAGATTTATCCAAAAATTCCCAAATCCTAATATTGTTAAAGAAATAATAAATAACTATGTTAAAAATCATAAAAAGAGTGTGAAGAATCCCTACCTCAAGCTTAAAAAATGAGAGAAAGAGTGAAGGAAACTCAAAGACGTTGAAAATCAACTTTGCTCCAATTAAAACGAAGCCCTCATCAAGCTCTACCTTTTTAACAAAGGGACACAAGTGAAAAGGTCGATGGATCTAAGTGTATTTGAGTGAAATCAATGATTTTTAAAGAGAGAGTGAGAGAAAATAGGGTTTTAAAATGTTTTGAGAGAGAGGTGAAAAATTGACCTTACAAACTGATATACGCGCAGGTCGCTCGAGCCCATGATGTGTCGCTCGAGCATCCAGACACAAAAGATGTGATCGCTCGAGCGAAGAAGTTTGTCGCTCAAACGAAGATTACAAACTCTCAGAATTTTTGTAGACAAAAGACTCACGCTCGAGCACAAGAAACACTGCTCAAACGACCATCGCTCGAGCGCAAGAAGGACCGCTTAAGCGAAGAATACCAACTTCCAGTATCTCTGCAGACCTGCAAAAGTACTGGAAGTTCACAAAGACCGCTCGAGCATATGAAGTGTCGGTCGAGCGAAGAAGCCAAAATCTGGGCAACAACCATTTTGAAAACTAACACCCGACTTGTTCCAAACGCAACCAAAACACAACAATAACCAAACTCAATGATGTGTAGGATGAAATAGGACATGAACCACCATATACAACAATAAAACCAGGATCCAAAACATCAAATGGGTCAGGTCTAAACCATAATCGCTATAACCTCCTCCCTTAAGGAATTTCATCCCCGAAATTTTAGATCAACAACAAAATCAAGGTTAAATTAAATACTACAATGATAACAAGTCAACCCGCCACCATGACCCATCCATCGGTCATTCATCCTCATTATAATGAGAAACAAGCTTCCAATATTGAATATACAATTCATATTTCCAAAACATATACGATGTTTATATCACATTAACATAACAAAGGTTTCAATACATGTTCAAACATCAACAAATAGGTCCGGATACTTTCATGGGCTTCCAACTCATGCTCCTAAATGGCCTCCTCAACCCTGTGGTATCGCCACAACACTTTTATCAAAAGAATCGTCTTGTCTCACAAGACTTGGTTTCAAGTATCTAAAACTCTAATCGGTTTCTCTTCGTACGAGGCATCCTCGTCAACCTCTAACTTAGTCCAATCCAACACGTGTGAAGGATCCGGCTCATACTTCCGAAGCATACAGATATGGAACACATCATGAACCCTTAAAAGCTGTGGCAGCAAGGCCAAATAGTAAACTAACTCCCCAATCCGTTCTAGGATCTCAAAAGGCCCAATAAATCTAAGAGACAACTTCTCACTCTTTCCAAATCTCATCAAACCCCATCTAGGTGATATCTTCAAGAAGACGTGATCTCCCACCTCAAAGGATAATGGTCTCCTCTTACGGTCGGTGTAGCTCTTTTGACAACTCTGAGCCGTAACCAACCTCTTGTGAATAAGTGTAACTTTCTCCATAGTTTCCCAGACTAGCTCTGGAGCAATCATAGTTGCATCACCCAAGCCGGCCCAACACACAAGAGATCTATATGGTCGGACATACAAGGTGTCAAACGGTGCCATACCAATACTTGACTGGAAACTATTGTTATAAGAAAACTCCACTAAAGGCAAGTGTCTCTCCTCTAGGATCTGAATTGTATGCTCTGACTGCCCGTCAGTCTGGGGATAATACTAAAGGTCAACCTAGTGCCCAAGGCATTCTGCAAGCTCTGTCACAATCAAGCCATAAAACGCGAATCCTTATCCCTAACAATTGTCACAAGGACCCCATGCAATTGAACAATGTCCCTAATGTAGAGATCGGCTAGTTAATCTACCGAGTCACTTATGCGCATGGTACAAAGTGCGTTGACTTAGTTAACTAATCAACTACCACCCATATGGCATCATTACCCTGTTGAGTCTTCGGAAGACCTGTAACAAAGTCCATCATGATGTGCTCTCACATCCACTCTGCTATAGGCAAGGGTTGTAATAAACCCGTTTGCCTCTGATGGTCGGCATTCACTTGCTAACAAGTAAGGCATCTCGATACAAACACGACTACATCCTTCTTCATCATCTTTTACCAAAACTGGCGACTAAGATCGTGATACATCTTTATGCCTCCTGGATGTACCGTAAGGAGTGAATAGTGAAACTCTCGGAGTACCTCCTCTCGACAAGACTCCAGCACTAAAAGACGGTCAAGATATCTAATGCTCGAGTCAAAATACACGTTCAAGCCCTTCTTTACCTTTCCACTAGAGATTTTCTCCCAGAGGGTTTCTACCTCAAGGTCACCCCTCTGTGCTTCTATTACCTGGTTTACAAGTGTAGGTTGTGCAACTATAGTAAATAAAGTAGCCGAATCAATAGACTCGCCAAGATGCAAGTCGAACTCACCAATAGCACCCA